GTTCTATAGCCTACATGTACTAATTCAAGCTATGTTAGCTGCTATCCTCTTTATTCTACAATTCAAAATCCTTGTCTAGAGTCTTTCGTTGGAAAACTAATCAAATATATTTTTTGTTTAGGACTTGATCTTCACGCAGCAATAGTACAAAAGCCAATAGAGGACTCGTATCTGCGGGTTATTAGGTATGAGACTGCCACAGAAGCTGAGGACAAAATGATTGAAACTGCGCTTCCCAAAGTTCTTCCACCTTCACTCAAGAAATCACATCTTTTAAAATCCGGCTCTTACTTATAGCACCCCATCTGTTTTATGGTGATTACCCATTTCAATACTCATTTTTAGTATATTTAATTGGACACATATAGAATATTTACAGAAACCATAGTGGAGTTTGAATTTGAGGATATAAATATTATCTTGTTAACTAAATTTATTTTTTCACAAAAACATTAAAATGTATATTTAATATTTATAAGTTTTTTACCATAGGAAATTGTTCCTTAAATTAGTAAATTTATACATTTAGCATTTGTTTGTAAGAGTAACTGTTCTAAAAATCTATACATGGTGTTTCACGGGAACCCTGACAAACTTCGGGAAATGGTTCCTTGGATCAAAACTAGAAAAAAATGTTGTATAAGTGTTGTAAATGGACTTAAATTATGTAGAATGATAAAGAGAAAGGTGTTTTAGGTACAAGTTTTTACTCAATACAAAACTGTATTGAGCTATGTTGTGACATAGCTTTCCACAAAACACATTTGGTATCCATGACAACTAACTTATACACAGAACACATGTGATACCAAAATGAACTATTCACACAAATCATATTTCAACACCCTCCTTACTTGTGGAATCCCTGGAACTTAATGCAGTCTCTGAATTTTTTCCTGTCAAGCGCCTTTGTTGGAGAATAGGTGAAAATGTTTCGTCATAATCTATTCCCCTCCTTTGGTCGAATCCTTTGACAATGATCCCCTCCTTTGGTCGAATCCTTTGACAAGTCACCTGGCCCTTCTCATTTTCCTTTGATTTGAAAACCCATTTACAGTTTAAAGGTTTCCTCAAGGCTGGGGGTTCGACCAATTCCCAAGTCTTATTTTCGATTTGAGACTTAAACTCACGGTCCATAGCATTCTTCCAAGAGTCTTTGAACTCACTTTTTAATGCTTCTTCGCGAGTTATTGGATCGGATAGCTCACCAGAGAAATAAGTAACATAATCGTTCAACGCAGCTGGGAGGTTTCTGACGCGCTGCGGTCGAGTTGTTGTGCCCGGAATAATGTTCATGTCAGTAACATCAGTAACATCGTCATTACTTCGGTTTACACCAGATCCTGTTGGAATCACATCATCATTATTTGACACATGTGGACCGGTTAGTGTCTGACCACTAGTACTGTCCTGACTATCAGACAAATTTTCTGTTGTTTCAGGAAACACGTAAAAATCTAAGTCTTTACTCACATTTTTCAATAAAGAACTTCCCCACTGATTTTCAGAAAAGGTAACGTCCCTAGATATGAAAGTAATTTTCTTCTGAGGATCATACAACCTGTACCCTTTACTAAACTGACAATAACCAACAAATATACAGGGAGTAGATCGTGGACTAAGTTTTTTACGTTTCTCGGCAGGAATGTGAGCAAATGCCTTGCAACCAAAAATTCTGAGATGTTGTAGAGTAAGCTTGTTACCTGACCATACTTGTATTGGAGTTGGTTCCACGGTCCTGCATGGTGATCTGTTCAGAAGGTAAGCAGCAGTATTCACAGCTTCAGCCCAAAAACTAGATGGAAGCCCAGACTCTATCAGCAAACATCTTGCTCGTTCTAGGAGGGAACGGTTGAGACGCTCTGCCTTTCCGTTTTGCTGAGGTGTGTAAGGACATGTAGTTTGATGCACAATACCTGATGACTTAAAAAAACTCAGTTAAGTTGCGATTACAGTACTCCGTACCATTATCTGTACGCAACACTTTTATCTTCTTGTCAGTTTGTTTTTCAGCATACTCTTTGAACGTTTTAAAGTGACCATTGATTTCGTCCTTTGATTTTAAAAAATAAACAAAACACATGTGACTGTAGTCATCTAAAAAGGTCAAAATATACCTAGACCCTCCAAGACTATTCACTTCCATAGGACCTACCAAGTCAGAATGCACTAGCTCCAGATAATGGCTACTTTTAGACTCACTCTTAGGAAAGGGTAAACGATGGCTTTTTCCTAACATACAGATATCACAAATAGTTTCTGGCTTACTACCAGAAATGTTGATATCATCAGCCAAGCCATTAACTAATCTTGTAAGGCTATCAAAATTCAAATGTCCCATACGCTGATGCCAGAGCGTTAAGCCACTGCTTTGCATGGATAATGCAGATGTGTTCGTAGGCATATCCAACTTAAACAGATTGTTTATTAAACTAGCAGAAGCAATGAGCTGACCTGTTGAATTGAAAACTTTGGCTCCATCACTATTGAATACCACAGAGTTTCCTTTATTTACAATTTGACTCACTGATAAAAGATTAACTTTTAAGTTAGGCACATAATGTACATTACTTACATTTGCTTCCGAAACCTCACCAGATATACATATTGGAAGCTCCAAATCACCGACGGTATCAGTCACCATTGTCTCATTATTTGCTGTGGTGATCGTTAGTGCTTTGCCTTTTCTTGCGTTCAGAAGCATGTTAACGTCAACACATAAATGACAAGATGCACCGCTGTCTAAAAAGAACTTATTACTAACGCCCGATTGCATTGAAAATGCAGCAAAAAGTGACGTATTAGATTTGCCAGAGTTTACGTTATTTTTGCTCACTACTCTTGTAGATGTACAGTTCTTTGAGATGTGACCGTAAACATTGCATTTATAACATCTCGGACCTTTCTTCACATTTTTGTCCGAACTACTTATGTTTCTGTTCTTTTGATAGACTTTGTGGACTGTCCCTCTTGAACTGGAACCATACAGTGCAGAATCAGTTCCTGCAAAAGTCATATCACGTTGTACTGGAGACACATCTTGCAATAACTTTGTTTTTATTGCATCCGCCGTGACTTTATTGCCTGAAGATTCAATGCCCATTATCATTGGTTCATACCGGATGGGTAAACCAGCTAGTAAGATTGTTCCAACCCATTCATCGGTTACCTGCAGACCCACATTTGTAAGCTTGTGAGCAGTTGTGACTATGCGGTTCACGTATTCCTCAACAGAACTACAATCTTCTAGCTTTGTGGTTATTAGAATACGGAGAAGTCCAACTCTCCTGCTTAATCCATCATCTTGAAAAGCCTTCGCTAATTTGTCCCAAGCTGCCTTTGCGGTGGTTGTGTTTTGAATATGTACATAATTCACCGGATCAACCAATAAGATCAGCTTTGACCGACATTTAGTGTCCTTTTTCTTATCCTGTTCTACACCAGATACGCAGTCCCACAAATCCAAATCTTCCAGGTAAGCTTGTACTGCAAACTTCCATGTATCAAAATTCTCACGACCTTTAAGCCTTTCAATTGGTAATGAATTTTGAGCCATATTGCTGTTAAAAACTTATGAAGTTGGTATTCTTTAAATGAAGCACTGAATAAAATATCCTGGGCCCATAACCTGTTGTAAATGGACTTAAATTATGTAGAATGATAAAGAGAAAGGTGTTTTAGGTACAAGTTTTTACTCAATACAAAACCTCAACATAGCTTTCCACAAAACACATTTGGTATCCATGACAACTAACTTATACACAGAACACATGTGATACCAAAATGAACTATTCACACAAATCATATTTCAACAATAAGCATATGTCCTAAACTCACTTGTTATCTATTTATACATAAAAATAGGTTTTTTTTTGTTTTTTAGTGTATCTGTTGAACATTTTGAAATCTAGATTGAAAAATTGACAAGAAATGTTGATAAAACTTGCATTGATAGATAGAATATTACATTTCAAAGAAATTTCATTACCATTTCAGGCAAATATGTTGGTTTTGACTGATAAAAATAAGGACATTTTAGGCCATTATATGCAATACTTCTCAACTAGGAGAACCCATATACCAACTTTCATTAGGATGTGTTTAAAAATAAGCTAAATATACAATTTTGTTTATTTCGCTTTATTTTATTAATTTCTGATATTTTACAATATTTTAGATTTTGATAAAAATAATCCCAAAAAAAGGTATACATAAATTCATATTTCCTTGTTCTCCGTTAAATTTTACAGCTTTTGGTAAAGTTGCAAGCCAAAAGCTTGAATGGTTACTACATGAAGAGCTGTCAAAAAGGAAAAATAATTTTTAATCTAGATTTTTTCGAAAATATTTTATTTTTAAACTTATTTTTATCAGTCAAAACCAACATATTTGCCTGAAATGGTAATGAAATTTCTTTGAAATGTAATATTCTATCTATCGATGCAAGATTTATCAAAATTTCTTGTCAATTTTGCAATCTAGAGGTCATAATGTTCAACAGATACACTGAAAACCTAAAAAATCATATTTTTACGTATAACTAGAAAACGAGTGAGTTTAGGACATATGCATACAAGACATTTTTTACCAGTTTTGACCCCAGGAACCATTTCCTGAAGTTCGTCAGGGTTCCCGTTAAACACCCTGTATATAAGATGATCTAAAAGTCATAACTGTGTTAACTAATTCTCCGTTATAGCGAGTTATCAACCAAGCAATCTTTGCCAATACTTAAACCTGTAAGAGCAGTGTCGTATTTCAGTCTGACCTAGGTTAGGTATTGATCCAAAGATTGCAATGGAAACCCTTCAAACGCACCCTTCCACTATTATTAAACTAATCCGCAAATGATCCATGCTCATAGTGTTTCCGCGTCTTTCTACCGATAAAGTACAGCTGATCGTCTAATAGATGGTGTAACTTAAGTTTCACACGAGAAGCTGTATGTGTGAAGAAAAGCTGTTAAGCTGGTAATTCAATAAGGTGTTCCACGTTACTTCAGTGAGGTGGTCTCTACCACCTGTGCGGGGTGTTAGTGTGCGTGTCTCGTGTGCTCGGTTGATGGAATAGTTCTTGGTTTTCATTCCTCACTTTTGTAAACATGGATAGCCCCTCGGGGTCTTCTGGTAAGATGAAGATGTGATAGGATTTTTCATTTGAAATAATTTTGGTTCCGTCAATCATTTTGAGAATCGGAAGAAATATTTAGGTAAAATAGGATCTAGAAAACTTGAAAAATTATTTTTATTTAGGCCATTTAAAAAATATTATCATTTCGATTTTGTGAATCTGTCATGAGATGGAAGTAGGATTCATTGTGTAAAAATAATGAACTGACGCTCCTAAATGATCTTTATTAGCCAGAAAATTATTTGTATTAATAATAGGCCAATAGAAGTAATAATTTTATTTTTTTTTAATATTTTTAAATTCTCCATAAAATCTTTCATATTTACCATAAAACATGTACCCAAGTGTAGGCTGCTGTCTCAAAGAATTGTTTGATTGGTACGGCAATACATTTGATTTGATGTGAAAAAATTAATTATTCACTGTCATCAAGTAACCTGTGTCATCTACATTATACATTTAAATTATTTTTTTTTCTCTTTGAAAGTCTTTTTGGGTAGGATTTACAGTGATGTCACTTACTTTGGGTATGGTCTATAAAATTGCATTTATTCTCATAGGGCACACAGGGCAGAGGGTGGGACTTTGGCCCTGGAAATCAACATTCAAATCCTGCCAAACATCAATAGCTTTTAGCTATTTAATAGTTCTGAGACCTAATGGTGTACATTGCATCTTAATGAAATAAAAGAGCGGGGTCTCTTATGTTTGGAGATTTTACTCTGAACGGGAGACCTCCCTCCATTGTAAGCCATGTAATAAATAATTATTTTTTTTCTTAAACTCCATTCTGATGTTAGTTTTTCCTCTGAGTTTTGGGCGATTTAATTTGGTTTCAATTTTATTTTTAGTATTTCTTCATTTCTCAAAACCTGTTTCAACGCGTTTTGTTTTTTATTGCAGGTTTTGATAGAAGTGAGATGCATCCTCCAGTGCCTGCGCCCAGATACAAGAGGAAATTGATTACTAATGAAGATTCCAAACATTCACCTAACACAGAGAATACTATGGAAGTGTTGCCACCACCGAGGAGAAAACGCAAACCCCAAAAAATAGACAAAACATTTCCAAACAAACATTTAGAAACAAACTTGAAACATGATTATCATACCCTTGAAGGGGTTCAAATAATCAGTGATGACAAAGAAAAATCTCCTACTGCTGGCAAAATGTTTCTTGAAACTCATTTTGACATGAACAACTCAAAAGATTCAAACATAGAATGTAGCAACACGTCTGAGATGACTGACGCTTTTAGAGAGATAGTAGATAGCTCTATTTTGAAGCATTTTATAAATAACAGGGTATTAGATATCCCTTTAGGAAAAGAAGAGAATTTTAGCTTTATCTGCGATGAAGAATCAACTCAGAATATCAGTGTAGACCCCAATGAAGAAAACAGGGTAAATAGTAGTTTAACGGAGAATTCTGCAACCATAGTAGGTGTATTTTATAAGCCAGAGTATACTTTAATGAATCAGTTAGATAGAGACAACCCTATAAACCATAATATAAGTGGCGATTCTGATCCCATTGTTTGGTCTAGTTTTTTTAACCAAGAGAAAAATGTGCCTGCTAATGATTCTGAGAGAAATTTTCAAATTAACAAAAAAGATTCAGAGGAAGATGATAGTGGAGTGTACTTTTCAGACACGAAATCCCCACCTTGCAAAACAAACGATGCGGAGATTAAGCAGAAAAGTGTAAACGAAGATGATTTGTCAAGTAACCTTCCTTCTTCCAAACCTTTTACCAGTAATGATCGTGATACATTTGACAATAACCAATCGGACCTTGGGCCAAATATGTATAATCAAGTTTTGGACAGCTTTGAGGCTCATACAGTCAGTGCTTTTAGAGAGGAAGTAACCGGACGGTTATCTATGTGCGGCGAAATAAGTAAAAGCCAGGCCGTAGAAAGTTGGCTGGACAATGGAGGGTATGTATCGAAGAAAAAGGTAATAAACAGTAACTTTTCTGATTACTTGAGAAACATGCTGGAAGTCGAAGAAAGCGAGAGAAGTCTCTCACCATATCCGTTGAGCACAGTCGACGAAAGTTCCGATGTATCTGAAAGAGGCGCTGAAGAGGACGAGTCGGTTACACAAGAAGCCTGTGCAGTTCCCCATAATCTAAGCGAAACACATGAGAATAGAAATGTAGAGTCTAGTGATAAATATTTAACCTCTTCTGTCGATACAAATGTTGTACATATTGTAAATAGTAAGTGTACAGAAGTTACCCCATGTAAATTGATAAGTAAGAGTGTTATGGAAAGTTCAAAGGGTATTGAGAGCATTGATACGACATTTTCTATTTGTAAGTTGACAAGTGAGAATAATCTAAATCATAATTACTTTTTCAAAGAGGCTAGCCTTCCTGAGTCCGTTTCTCCATCTATTGAACATGGTGCTGTAAACAAACTTATCAGTTTCTTTGAGACTATTCACACAGAGGATGACTTGGCCGAAGAAAACGTGTCTGATTGTGAAGATACACTTTCTGAAACTCAAAATTCAGACATAATTGGACAAATTGCAGAGAGCCATGGTGTCAATGAAACTAATTCTATTGACTTAAATTTTAACTGTGTGGTTTTTGAGGGGCCTGAGGAAGATTTAAGAAAAGAAAAAAAGGATGAAGAACTTTCAATCCTCAAAAGTATTATTGAAGAAAATACCTATGAAAATATTGAGAGTAATTTTTTTTCAAATGAAGCAAGTATAACATTTAAACCTTCCAGCCAATGTAAGGATGATGAAAACCATGCAAATCACGACACTAGTAAAATAAACTATGAATATTTAATTCACCAATCATGTGAGGGTCCTAAAAAGGAACCTGTGAACGGCCTAGATAAAAATTTTGAATTACCAAGAATGTTATGCGAGAATGGAAAAAAATCAAGAATGGCAAGAAACCTTATACAAGTAGAAGAAATCAGCCCACCAATTGAATTTTCTGATGATAAAGAAGTGTCAGCAATATTTAGTGAAAATGAAACCACAGTAGAAAACAGTGAAGTTCCTAATTTAAATAGTTCAACCAAAGATCTGCCCGACAGAGATGAAACAGTCTGCCCTTTGAAGCGAACAAGAATTCCCATCGTGGTACTGACAGAAGCTGACACTGCATCATCTCCTATTGGGTCCATCGAGTTGCATCCTCAGGACTGTTCATCTGAAGATAATGACACTAGAGGTAAAGATTTTATGTACTGTTGTAAAAATATTGAATTAATAAAGTTTAGCACAAGTCAAAGACTGATCTCGTGGTTAGATTTTTTTTTACGAACAGAGTTCAGCTGGGTCCAGGGGCTAATATATACACAATTAAAGAAAAAGACTAGTATTCCAGTGTTATTAAGCAAAACAACTCAAACATGCTTAACACTTCTTAAATTGTCTGGGAAAACTTTAACTACAGTACAGTATTATTAAACTATACCAAGCCAACACTACAGGATTAAATAAAAACACAATAAGGTGGACTACAGAGTTTTAAGTATAACATTATTTTTGTTTGAGTTAAACTTGAACTATAGCCTACTTGGCACAATCATGTCAATTATTGTCAATCAATATCAAAGCATTAGCATTGTAATGACAAACACTGACAAAAGGCAATACGAGCCGACAAGGCGGCAATGGCCGAGCAGAAATACTTCTTCTTTTATTGTTGTTTTGAGAACGACTTGTCCAGCTAACCAAAAATCTTTAGCGGCCAAACTAGTACAATGCTAGTACTGTGTGTGATTTTCGTTTTCTAGAATATTGCGGATCATTTGTACGTTGAAAAATAATACCTTTAATAATTATTTAAAGTACCTATTAATTTTAAGCAATCACAAATTACTTGCTATTATTACTTTACTTTCAACAGAAAAATTCCTAAAAACGTAATTATTATTTTCTGACTGTAAATAAAAAATACCCCCGCCGCAGCAAACCTGCCGACTAAGCGAATTTCCATTTGTCTGAATTGTTTTTTAATTAAATCTACTTAAATAACATTAGGTTTAACGAGTACCTAGGTTTGCTGCAACAAGGAAACCACTGTTGGGGTTTTTAGTAAAATATTAATAGCTTAGTGCAAAATAAATAATTTGCCAAGTTTTATTAAAATATATCCATAAACAAGCAAACTACAAAATTTAACAATATTCTCCATAAGAATAACATTGGAACTTTAAATTTATAATTTTTTTAATTTACTCCATTACTAATAAACGTACAAAAACACTTTGATATACTAAATTAAATTATTTGTTTTTTTAAGCTCTTTCAAAAGGTCTAGAGATAAATTGGGAAAATTTGTGTTTTGAGGGTCAAAAATGAGAAAAACCATTTTTCACCCCATAAAACCCCCATGGTCCGATCATACTGGTTCGCTAACTCATTCAAGTTTATCCTGCCTTACACCTTTGAACCAAATTTCATCAAAATCGGACAAAAATTACTCAAGTTATCGCGTTCACGGACGTATATATATATATATATAAGTAGATATATTCATGTCACTTCTGGGCCAAAAAAGGAGCTACTCAAAAATTAAATGAATTTTCCTATTTTTTTATACAATAGCCTATGTTCTATTTTTTACCCTTTTAGGTCAATTTCTAACATTTTCATATTTTTCAAGAAAAAGTATATAATTTTGATGAAATTTTCATGAATATGTCTATATTTTCCATAAAATTTACTACAAAACAAAATGTTTTTAAAAACAAGTAAAATTTTAAAATTTAATGAGTAGTTTTTATACAAATTTAACTAAAACAGTTTCTTTATCTTTGAATGTTTTAATTTCAGTAATAATTAAGTTTAAATCTTTTTTATTTAATTCTTTAATTGTTTTTTCATCAAATATATTAATAAATCTATGAGGCAAATGAACTTTACATTTTTTTAATTCAACAATAATTGTTGGTCCATATTTATCTTTAATTTTTTCAAATTTTTCTATTTTATATTTTGTATTCAATAGACAAAAATATTATTATAATCTTAAATTTTAATAAATAACAAATATAAATATGTCATTAATAATTTTAAACGATAAAAACTAATATAAAATAGACAGTTCAATTTTTAAAGAAACAGTTCACTAAAAGTGGACTATTTTTTATCTTTTAAAGAAAATGTTCTCTAAAAGTGAACTATTTTATCTAAAGTGGTTTTATCGGAATCATATTTTGTTCAAGTGTTTTACTGATTAGTTGGAAAATGTGCACTTTTACTGAACTAAATCAAAGAAAAGTGAACTAATGTATGTTTTTATTAAACTATTTTACTGAAAAAATTATCAAAAAATTCTGAAACTTAAAAATTATGAATAATTATGTTAAAAATTAATGTTTTTACTAAAATTTTCCAATTTAGGGTGAACTACCCTTAAACTAAAAACCTTAATAACTTCTTTGTTTTTAAAGATATTTTCATGAAATTTGGTATGATATATCTATAAGGTAAGTACAAATTTATTAAATAATAAAATTTAAAATATTTATTTCCTGTGACCTTGAAAATCAAAAATTTTTATTTATTAATATTTTTTTATGAAACAAATTTTAAATTAACAATAGTAGTCTCATTATTCATAAAATATAATAATATTTTGAAAAATATGTCAAAAAGTAGTAAATAAATGGTGGTTTTATAACAATTTTATTTGATTTCAGTTATATCATTTTTAATTACATTATACTCTAATAATCTTTCAGATACAACAACTACATAGCAATTAGTTTTACTAGCAACAGTTATATCATAATCAAATTCCATATTTATAATAATATCATTCTTTGAACCAGAAATATTAACAGGAGTTTTTGTTGTATCAATCACATACAATGGTCTATTTTCAATGAATTCTGTTGGATCATAATACATTTCACTATTGTTATAATAAACCTTTTTATAATCTTGATACATTTGATATACAATTCTAAATTTTCCATTATTTATATCTAGATTCATTAATTCATCAGGATAATAGTGACCATTTAATTTTACTCTAATATTTTTAATATACATACTATCAAATTTTGAAGTGTCATATAATTGATCATTAGTTCTACCTTTTTGAAAACTAATTATTATAAATTTTGGATTATAGATGTTTCGATAAATATTTGTTATATCAAAACTAACTGTTTTTCCAGTTATTGTCTTTTGTTCAATACATTGCCAATGATTAAAGTGAAATAGTATTTTTTCTTTTTTAGTTATTTCATTAATATATTGAATTTTACTTGTAGTTTTATACTCAATTATTGGAACTCTAATGAAAAAGTCATCAATAATTACTTTTCCAACACCTGGTAATGTAGTATCATCAAAAGTTCCATCAACTTTTTTAGTTTTCCATCTAAAAATAGCATCATTATCTTCAGATCTAACAAAACATATATTGAATCCTCCTTTGTATATAGGAACATTAACATTTTCAAAGAAACCTAATCCAAAATGTGATAGATTACCCACAGCTTCAAATGTTTTTTTGAAATCTGATTGAAGTCCATTACAAATGTTGGATACTGCTTCTGTTTTTGAATAAGTAACAGTACCTTTTATTGTACTCAATTGTCCAGGATATTCAATTTCCTCAATTAATTTATTATGTTTTCTAATTTCAATTTTTGAAAATAAGAATGGTATAAAATTATTAATCAACTTTACATTATCTGTAGCACTATAGTCTTTATCATCAGATTTTTTTAATGATCCTGAAATATAAAATTGAAACTTAGATGAACAAAATCCATCACCAAAATCAATATTAAATTCAGTTTTTTTGTTTGGTTCATTCAAATGTAGTTTAGATAAAGGATAAAAATTTTTATATTCAGCTCTTTCAATTTCATAAGTATTAGCCATTTATTAAGGAGAAATTTATGAAAAAAATATGGAAAGAAAAAGGTTTTTTAAAACCAGTAAAATTTTTGTAATAAAGAATAGTTTTATAAATCTTTTTGGAATAATTTAATCAATCTCGTCATAATCCATTTTTTCTTTAAACTGTTCAATATTCAGTGCATGATCTATGATGAATTTTGCTGATATATTTTGATATTGTAACACTATTTCCCAATCCAAATCATTTTTATATTTATCAATAAAATCTTCATCTAAATTTTGATACTTACAAACCAAATTAATATAAGCATTAAGTTGATAATTAATAAACTCATCAATAAATTGTATAGTTAATGTTTGATATTGTGCAATTTTTTCCCAATTTAGTTTATTTTGAAACAATCTGATCATATCTTCATTCAATTCATATTTTTCTGAAATAATATTCCAATCTTCATTGGTCAACATAAATTGGTTTCTGATAATAAAAAGATCAAATGAGTTATAGTTTGCCATTTATTAGGAAGAAATTTTTGCAAAACAACTTTTCTTTGAATTACATATACAACATTTTGCTTTAATCATATTTTTATTTTTTAATTTTATTGCTTGAATGTCTTTAGAATTGGTTTTTTGTTTACATTTAAGACAGTAAATAAACTCCATTTATATAGTAAAAATTATTGATCTTCTTGGTTTTCTGTATTAAGTTTATCTTCTAATATTTGTGCTAATCCAGCAGTTACTAATCTTATTTTTTCAGCAAGTTTATCTTCAAGTTGTTTTTCTAAATCTTCAACATACATTTTTAGATTAAATAATGAATTGACCAATTCATTTAAATCCTGTTTAGTTTTTGAATGATCATTACCAACCTTAATAATAGAATTTAAAACTTCATTTAACTCAGATTTTATGACAACGTCATAGTCGTTAATGCTTGGTTTTACATTAACAATCCTTCTAGAATTAATACTTAAATAGTTTTTGGATAGACTAATAGCATTAACCAAATTATTAGTTTTCTTAATATGATTTTTTAAATCCTTATTTATATCATTAAAAATAGAATTTAATTTTGAATTAATATAATCATTTTTTACTTCAATTAAATCTTTTTTCTGTCTACCAAATAGATCAAATATCAACATGTTTAGCCTCTGAATCACGTAATTTACTAATAAAAGGTTAAATACCTGTAGTACTTGTCCGTGATCCTGTTTTAGGTCAGCGACCCAGGTTTCGAACCTAAAGGTTCATTTTCAAGCTGATACCATGGTTAAACTCCTTCTAAACACATAAATCCTCTTCATAACTGTGAAGAGTCGTTGAAGACACGAACAC